TAGAGAAGAGTTTAATGGGTACAGAGTGTCAGCTTGGCAAGATAAAAACGTCCTGGGATCTATTCCACAATGTGAATGTACTCAGAACCTCAGACCTGGCCACATCAAAGCAGTTAAGATGATAAACTTTATGTTCATTGGGGTTTGCGGTGTGGGGTTTATGCTGCACAAGCTCTCTAGCACGTCTGTTACGCTTTATTTACCACAAGGGGAAAATGGTGTTCTCCAAGAAAAAAGGTTTAGTTCAGCTTGTGACCCAGCTGTGCAAATGCTGTTCCCTGAGATAACATCAAACCTCCCATGCAGAAAAGTGCTTTATCTGTGTTTCTTGTTTTATATAAACAAACATAATATACTTAAAAGACATGTGAGGGGCTGCAGATACGGCTCAGTGGTTAATGGACTTGCTATGAAATCCTGAGGACCAGAGTTCAGATCTCAGCATAAATCTAACAAAGCCAGGTGTCTTCTGCACACCTGTAACCCCTATTCTGAGGCAGGCAGAGACAGAAGGATCATTGGAGCTTTCTGGCTGCCAGCCTGGCCAAGAAAATGTGAACTTCACATTCAAGGAGAGACCCTGCCTCAAAGGGAGAGACAGTGTTGGGGGAAGAAACCTAACTCTCTCTTCTGGCCACTGTAACATCCACACACTGTGTGTACACTTAAACACACACACAAAATAAAGATACAAATATTTTTTAAAGATACAACTTAGGGTTTGGAGAGATGGCTCAGTGTTTAAGAGCATCTGCTCTTCTCAAAAAGAGCTTGATTCCCAGCACTCACATCAGGTAGCTGATGAGCACCTATAACTCCAGCTCCAGGGAATCTAATGCCTTCTGGACTCCAAGGGCACCCGCACACACATGGAAGGCACACAGAGGCACACACATACGCATATAAACCATGCATAATTAAAATTTTATAAATATTTTAAAAACAAAGAAAAGTAGACTAAACGAGTAGGCTTTGGTTTCCAGTTCACTGGCACAAATAATAACGGCCCTTGAGGAGATAACAGCTGGGGATCTCCGACATTCCAGCTTTCCACAAACAGAAGTTCTAGGCAGCCAGTCATCCTTGCTGAATGTTTAACGTGTGTATAGCTTTTTTTTTCTGGGAACTTCTGTTCACAACGGTCCACTTCCTTCAGCCACTCTAAACCCAGATTCATCTGACACCAGTCACCTCCACCAGGCTGCTTCCACCTCATCCCAGTGACAAAGATTTGTACCTGAGAGGCCCTGGTGGCCAAGTTAATGCCATGTCTATCCTGACCCTAAGATTAGTCCCTGGGCTCTGAGGATCGCAGCAACATGGACCATTCGGAATGCACAGGCCCTGGCCAAGGTGGAGCTGATGCTTCTGCCCTGGCCATCAAAGCCCTCAAGGACCCACCAAGAGGCAGAAAGAAACAAAACAACACACGACACAGCAGAATATCACTGCTGATGGCACCGTCTGCATTACTTGGCAGATGTGGCACTAGTCTCCAGCCGAAGGACTCTCTGGAGCTTTAATCGAGGTCCTGAGGACCGTCCAGTCTGTGGGGGCCGTGTCTGACAGTCACACCACATGAGACACCGAAGGTGTCATCAGCGGCACAGTGGGATGCCTAGAGAAACACAGGCGAGCCAGACATGGTGGGCACACACCTGCAACCCCACAAAAACCAGGGTGGCACTGCACACCCATAAACTGCAGGGCTCAGGAAGTGGAGGCAGGGGATTAGGAGTCCAGGGGTCATCTTTGGCTACATTACCAAATTGGAGACCAGTCTGGGCTACATGAGTCCCTGTCTGTAAGTCAAAAAGCAAAGCAGATCTCATCACTTTCTTAAGGAGGCCCTTCCCTAGCCTCCCCTGGGGTTAAGTGTAAATGGGATGAGAGGCCACAGAGGCAGACACCACACCATCCTGGGCCCTGAGGCCTCCCTCACTGTCGTCCACTCTTTCTATCCCCTGCCAGGCAGCTGGTGGTGACCTAGGAGGCCTGTGAGCCTCCGACCAAGCAGAGGGAGGAGCCTGGGTCCTTGAAGGACTTCAGGGACCAGAGCCTCTGACCAAAGCCAATCTACACTTCACGGTAACACAAGTAAAATGAAACATGTATGTGCAAAGCCAGGACCCCAAAGCTCTTAGTATAGTAGATGGAGAATAGCAGTGATCATCCTGGAGGTGATCGTACAGGTCCCACTGCCCTTTCAACCTGTCACGATTGTATCCTCTGTCTGTCTGTCTGTCTGTCTCTCTCTCTCTCTCTCTCTGTCTCTCTCTCTCTCTCTCTCTCTCTCTCACACACACACACACACACACACACACACACACTTGTGCCACCAGACTTAGTTTACGTGGTACCAGGGATCAAACCCAAGGCCTCAAGCATGCTAGGCAAGCGGTCTACCAACTGAGCTACGTCACTAGTCCCTTGGTTGAATTTGTGTTGTGTTTGGTTGGCTTGGTGTTTCAGGGTGAACCCAGGGCCCTGTGTGTGCTAAGCACGAGCTTTACCTCCCAGCTCTACCTTCAGTCCTTAGCTAATTTTTACAACACACACCCATTAGCAGATAAATTAGTTAAAGCTATTACAAGAACATTCCAGTCACACTCTGCTAAACTTCTGTTTTTCATTGTTTTAAATGGCAATCTTTAACAGTTTTTTTTTAGATTGAAATATCTTTATTTTAGGTTGTTTTGCCTGTATGTCTGTATGTGTACATCTGTGCACCAAATGTGTGCAATGTTCACAGAGGCCAGAAAAGGGCATCAGATCCACGGAACTGAAGTTACAGCTGTTCTAAGGTACCATGTAGGTGCTGGGAATCAAACCCAGACTCTCAGGAAGAGCAGCCGGTTCTCTTAACCACTGAGCCGCTCCAGCCCCTTAAATGGCAGTCTTGGGTACTATGACTTACACATAAATATTTAATATATACATTTAGCCAGGTATAATGGTGTATTCCCTTAATCCCAGCACTCGGAAGGCACAGGCAGGTGCAGGTGGATCTCTATGAGTCCCTGGCCATTCTGGGCATTAATGAGTTCCAGAGGCAGGATTTTCAACAGGGTTGGATGTCTGGGAGTCAGTGGTCTTCATACAGGACTGGTTGAGAGGCAAAATGGAAGTCAATAGATCCAAGGCTGAGGATATAATTCATGAGCTGGGAATACAGATCAGCTGATAGAGTGCTTGCGTAGCATGCACAAAACCCTGGGTTCAATCCCCAGCAGCACATTAACTAGGCATGGCGGTGTCTACCTGTAATCCCAGCTGTCAGGGTAAGGGCAGGAAAATCAGAAGTTCAAGGCCAGCTTTGGCTGCAAAATGACTTTGAAGCCAGCCTGGACTTAACATTGTCTTAATAACAATAACAGTAATAATAAAGGATAACAACAAAACGTCTCCCTCTGTAACCCCGTCTAGTCTGGAACTTGCTATGTAGACCAAGCTGGCCTCAGTCTGAAGTTTGAGCCAAGTCTCTGGGCTCGTGATCTTTGGTCACACATTTTCGGTTAATCCTCACTGTGGCAACTGTTTGTCACAGGGACAGGCCTTGAAGCCAACAGAAGCTGTAGGATCCCTGAGCCACTTCCAGGGTGTCACTTACCATCACATGTCCAACTCCCTGCTCTCATCTTGGGACGAGCTCCCACCCCGCCCAGCCTGTGAGCACTGAAGTACCTCCCAGGAGCCTCACTGGGAAAGGCTATGGCAGGGATCAGATAAGGGGGTCCTGATGGCTGGGGGACAGTAGTCCTACTGTCCTCTCCTCGACTCCAACAGGGCCTTGCTCTGCATCAAGCTGTAGCTTTTTCTCTCTAGGGCCCAGCCAGGTGGGGACATAGCCTCAGAGGACCATGTGCCCTGGACTCAGCTGAGCCCATCTCATGGGGGGGGGGGGGGGCGGTGGTGGCTAAGGGGCATGGGTATCTGCTTCTGGATAAAGTAACCTGAGAGCTGCAGGCGGGGGGTGGGGGGGGGACGGACACACGGACAGAAATCTCAGTCTCGGTCCCCGCCTCAGCCTCACAGGGCACCGTACTATCTCATTTTGTCTAAACACTCTTGTCACTAGCACCAACCAGTCTATAGAATCAGGATTTTTTTTTAATTTTATTTTATTTTACCATATAATTTAATTCTACATATCAACCACGGATTCCCTTGTTCTCCCCCCTCCTCCCCAGCCCACCCCCCATTCTCATCTCCTCCAGGGCAAAGACTCCCCCTGAGGATTGAGATCAACCTGGTAGACTCAGTCCAGGCAGGTCCAGTCCCCTCCTCCCAGGCCGAGCCAAGCGACCCTGCATAGGCCCCAGGTTTCAAACAGCCGACTCATGCAATGAGCACAGGACCTGGTCCCACTGCCTGGATGCCTCCCAAACAGATCAAGCCAATCAACTGTCTCACCCATTCAGAGGGCCTGATCCAGTTGGGGGCTCCTCAGCCATTGGTTCATAGTTCATGTGTTTCCATTCATTTGGCTATTTGTCCCTGTGCTTTATCCAACCTTGGTCTCAACAATTCTCGCTCAAGGAGGGAGTGGGAGTTAGGTAACCCCAGGAGCACCCTGGGTGTGCCCTTCCGGCACTCACCCTGCATCAAGAACCAGGCAGGAAGCTCGAGAGGAGAGCATTGCGTAAGGATTGAGGATTGAGAAGCCTGGGGTGGGGCTGGAGAGGTTCACTCTGACCCCACTCACAGCCCTGCCTCAACATCCCTCGCACAGAGAGCTGGGATTAAGCAAGACCTCTTGAAGATGAGCAGAGGGACAGAGGGAGCTGGGGAAGAGGAAAGGAATAGGAACCAAGAGCAGCCAGCACAGGGGAGGTGACAGGCGTGACCCTGCTGAGAAGACCTGGGATCAAACACCTGGAGGGCTCTCAAGACACAGGCAAACACTGAGGTCAGCTTGCTCCCATGGAGTCCGGCCCCCGGGGCCTCTCCCCCACTATAAGAGCCTCTGCCTCAAGTAGGGTGCCAAGGAGTAGGCAGCCATGGCCAAGTCACATCTGCTGCAGTGGCTGCTGCTGCTGCTGCCCACACTCTGCAGCCCAGGTGCAGGTGAGTCTCCCAGGCCCCCCGCCCCCACACACCCAGAGGCATCTCCACCACTTACTGAGCCAGCTCTGTGCCCAGAATGACCCCAGCCTGCACATATTCCTGAATTTAAAGACAAGTTAGTCACGGTCCAGAGAGGCCCTAGGCGCTCGTTCAAGGTCAGCTGGTAGATACTGAGGCAGGAGGACTCAGAGATGATTGACATAAGTGATGGCCACTCGTTTGCAATGAACCTGGGTTGGGGGTGGGCTGAAGGCAGGGTGCCAAGTGTATCCTGGATCCTGATGAAGGCCGCTCTGACCCCAACTGTAGCCGCCGGGTCGGCATCATCCCTGGATTGTGCACAGGGCCCTAAAGTCTGGTGCCAAAATCTGGAGCAAGCAGTGCAGTGCAGAGCCCTGGGGCACTGCCTACAGGAAGTCTGGGGACACGCAGGACCTGTGAGTAACACCCAAGGGTGCACGAGGGCTTTGGAAAGAAGGAATTGGGGTGGGTTCTGAACGGGCATAAGTGGGCTTCCCACAGAGACCGGGGTGGCATGGAGGATGGACGGTGTAGTATGACATAAAATGATGAGTAGATTGAACGGAATGAAATGGATGTGATGACACAAATGGGGTGAATGGGATGGACCTGTCAGCCTGTGTCTGAGAAAGCTGCGCTCCCTGGAGCTAGGAGCACGCCCCAACTCATTTGCCCCACTTGAGACCCTTTTTCCAGAATGACCTGTGTCAAGAATGTGAGGATATTGTCCACCTCCTCGTAAAGATGACCAAGGAAGACGTTTTCCAGGTAATGGGAACCAGATCCTGGAGGAAGTTTAGGGAACAAGGGATGAGGGGCAGAGAGTGGAAAAGGAGCAAGCTCCCCAGAAGGCTATTTCCAGGCCGAGGTGAGGCCTTCACACTCATCCAGCCACCCAAGAGTAGGTTCATAAAACTGAGCTTAGGGGGTAGAAAGATGGTTCAGTGGCTAAGAGCACATCGTGTTCTGGAAGACCTGAGTTCGGTTCCCAGCACCCACATCAGACAGCTTACAGCTACTTGTAACTCCAGGATGAGCACACGCACTCATACGCACTCATACACACTCACCCACACATATCCAGTGTGCTCTGGTGGAGGCCTTGCATCAGGGGACTCTGGTGGGGGCAGACCTCAGAAAGGCCAAGCTAACCGTCCCTTCTCTGCCCTCCCAGGACACAATCCGGAAGTTCTTGGAGCAGGAGTGTGAGGTCCTTCCCTTGAAGCTGCTTGTGCCCCGATGTCGCCAAGTGCTCGATGTCTACCTGCCCCTGGTTGTCGACTACTTCCAGAGCCAGATAGTGAGGGCCCCGACCTGCCTGCCACACCCACCACACAGTTCATGTGCTTAAGTGGCCACTTTCCTGTAAAAGTGGCCCCAACACACACACACACACACACACACACACACACACACACACACACACACACACACATACACACACACATACACAGAGAGAGAGAGAGAGAGAGAGAGAGAGACCATTCAACCAGACACATACACAGCACCCACACATATACATGAACACCCATATCCATACCGACCCACACACATACACCACTCAATCAGATACACACATGGAATCACACACACACACACACACCACTGTAGCCATAGGAAACTCAGTTCCTTCATCCAGACACCCAGATCAGAGCGTACCTGTTCAATAACATACTACAGACATTCAGGCACACCCTCCATCCCCTCTCTCTCACACCCACATTCTTATTTATTGTCATACAATTTGCTCACGTGCATTCACACATTCCCAGATACCTGCCCCGAGGCCCTACACCACCCCATCTCTGTCTTTGCCCCTTCTCTGGAATCCTAAGATGGAGCACCCCACCCAGCCTGCTCCCCATAAATCGAGGCTCAAAGACTGTGACAGTCCTTGTCCCTGAGCAGAGTCGGGCAGCGAGGGGTTCCCTCCTGATCCTAACAGCCCTTACCTTTCTGTGTCCTAGAACCCAAAGGCCATCTGCCATCATGTGGGGCTGTGCCCACTGGCACAGGCTAAGCCAGAACAGAAACCAGGGATGCAGGATGCTATTCCAGACCCTCTGCTGAACAAGCTGGTCCTCTCCGCCATGCCAGGGGCCCTCTTGGCTAGGCCTGGGCCTCACACACAGGTAAGCCAGCCCTCCCCACCTCCCCCGCCAACAGCGCTTATGGGGAATCCAGAAGGCTAAAGTGGCCACTGAGACACATGAGCACCCAGAGGGGTAGAGCTGGGAAGAGACGAAAACCACCAGGCAGAGCTTGAACTAGGAGGCAGAGAAGCAAAGAGAGATAGGCAGGGCTCGGAAGGCACCTCCCAGCCTTAACCCACCTCACCACTTCCTTCCTCAGGAGCTCTCTGAACAGCAGCTCCCCATCCCTCTGCCCTTCTGCTGGCTCTGCAGGACTCTGATCAAGCGGGTCCAAGCCGTGATTCCCAAGGTAAGGCCTCAGTGTCCAGAACCACATAGAGCTCGGGAGGGCCTCCAGTAGCTGTACCTTCCCCCACCTCAACACACCAAGAAGGCTGTGAGGAGTTAAGACACCCATGCCTGGTCCCTACCCAAGGAACCTTGAGGCTCAGGTATGGGAGAATTGGTCAGGGCCAGCCTCCTCTTCCAGTAGCTCACCATCTGAAGGCTGAGAAAGGCCTGGTTGTCACTGTGGGGGAAAATGCATTAATTTCTCAAAAACAGAGTGTCCACCAAAATATCACCATCCCTTCTGTCCTCCGAACGCATAGTGGCTTCTCCCAAAGGCCTCATCAGCGCAGGGTTGTCCTGCCCACAAATGGTCACGCTCTATCAACACTGCCCAAATGGGGACCTGCAGGCAATGTCACTCATTAAGACCCACAGCAGGGCACACATTTCAGCCTTTCTGAAGCTTGCGTTGTGGAAGGAACGTGCAGACTATAGACCCTGCAGAGCTGAGGGTTCACACGGATGAAATGATGGGAATTAGACAGGTAAGCCAGGGAGAGGTAACAAGCCAAAATCTGGGAGGAAACAAGGCCCTCAGGAGCTAAGGGCATCCATCAAGTAGAAATGAGCTCAGGGGGCTAGGAAGACGGCCCAGTGAGTAAAGTACTTGCTGAACCTGAGTTCAGATCCTCAGAACCCATATAAAAAGTTAGGGGTAGCAGTGCACACTTGTAACCCTACGCACCAGGGAGGCAGAAATAGGCCAATCGCTGACACTTGCTGGCCAGTCAGCCTAGCCAAATGGATGAGCTCCAGATTTAGTGAGAGACCTTGCCTCAAAATACAAGGTGGAGGGGCTGGAGATACTGCTCAGCAGTTAAGAGCTTTTCCAGAGGACTGAGCTGGGTTCCCAGCACCCCTGTCAGGCTTCAACCATCTGTAACTCCTGCTCTGGGGAATCCAATACCCTTCTGGCACCATGGGTACCTGCACATATGTGCAGATATGCACACATATACATGAATAAAAATAAACCTTAAACAATGATAAGGTGGGAGTGACTAAGGAAGACACTACATTGACCTCTAGCCTCCATATATCTGCACACACAAGCGTACATATACATGAACACACACACATACACTTGCAAAAACAAACAAAACCCCAGTCACATCAGCCTGAACATCACTGGCTGAAGACCGAATCAAGGACCCAAAGCATGAGCAAAACCATCAGGAGACAAGGTGTGGACAGGTGGAGACGGCATCAGAAGAGACGAGAGGGAACAGCCAGCAAAGTGGGGCCGGTGGTATGCTGCCAGGGAATCCCAGAGAGGAAGAGTGTTTGATTGATCAGAAAACTGCTGGACCACCAGGCAGGATGACAGCTGGACAGGGGGTGCAGGAGTGAAGTGTTCCAGAAAGGGGAGCAGGCACAGTGAGGCTTCCTAAGGTCAGAAGGCATCATCCTCTCCAGCCAGCAGGGACCAGAGAGAGGGTACAGCCAGGGGAGGCATGGGTGGAGGTATCACAGAGGTGGAGTCATTTCACCAGTGAACAGCTTGGTCACTGACTATGATGACTGTTGGCCTGTGTCACCATAACAGGAGGAGAGCCATGTGTGGGTCGATCACAGGTGGGTGCCTTAAGTGAAGGGCCCCATTTCTGACGTGCCGCACTCCAGGGGTGTCCGTACTCTGAACCCTCTTCCTTCCTCAGCCTCCTGGCACTAGGGCCAGCTTGTCACATGTAAAGGAAAAAGTCACAGGTCCGTGACCTCTGTGATCCTTCAGCTTCGAGGTAGTTTGGAAGTGAGATGGGAGAAGTGTTGGCTTTCCCAGGGGTTCGCATAGCCAAGGGTCTGTCAGCTTTGACAGCCCACAGAAGGAACTGACAGTCTTTGTGATGGATGACCATGGGGAAGTAGGGTGGCCCTGGGTCAGGAAACGGGCTTCGAGTTCTAGCTTCGGGTCAGGCTGTGAGAAGCCGTGGCCTTGTTGCCCCCTTTCAAGTGACTCTAAAGCCTTTGGAGTCAGATCTGGGTCTGGAGTCAACCGCTGACTCTCTCCCGGAGACTCCAGGTGCACCCCAGGTCCCCTGCTGTCTTGGATGCTCAGTGGCCGTGGACAGCTCTCCTTCCTAGGAGGGAGAGAGGGGTGTGCCTGGGGTGTCCACTCCTACGGGTACAAACAAGAGCCTGTCAGAGGAAGGTCCCATGCTGTCCTTTCTCCACCTCCACCCCAGGGTGTGCTGGCCGTGGCTGTGGCCCAGGCGTGCCACGTGGTACCCCTGGTGGTGGGTGGCATCTGCCAGTGCCTGGCCGAGCGTTATACAGTCCTCCTGCTAGATGCACTGCTGGGCCGGGTGGTACCCCAGCTCGTCTGCGGCCTCGTCCTCCGATGTTCCAGTGAGGACGCCACTGGCCCAGGTAAGTCTGCTGTCACCTCCCCCACTGTCCTCCTTCCTTGGTCCTCTTCCTGGCTTATGTCACTGCGGGGCACACAGGGGGAAGGAGGGAACACGGACAAGGTGGGGGACAGGAACCAACACTATTTTCGACTACGTATTATTTTGTATGGGTAGGGGTGTTTTGCCAGCATCTCCATCTATATACCATGTGTGTGCCTCGTTCCCACAGAGGCCGTAAAGGATGTTTAGTCCTCTACAATTGAAATAGCAGACAGTTGTGAGCCACCATGTGGGTACTGGGAATTGAACCCAGATCCTCTGGAAGAGCAGCCAGTGCTCCTAACCACTGAGCCATCTCTCCAGCCCCAGAACCAACACTTGCGCAGGACAGCTTTGGGGGAAGGATTAGAACGGAGTCCTTCTACACACCACAGTTGGCCTCCAGCTTGGTGTGGTCCTCCTGCCTCAGCCTCTCAAGTGCTGGCATGACAAGGTATGTGCCATCATGCCCCGCCTGCGGGACAGACAGTTTTGGCTCTTTTCTCTTCAGCCCTCCCTGCTCTGGAGTCCCTGACAGAAGAAGGGCCACGACAAGACACTGAGTGCCATCTCTGCAAGTCTGTGATCACCCGGGCCTGGAACGCCAGCGAACAGGCTATGCCACAGGCAATGCGCCAGGCCTGCCTTCGCTTCTGGCTGGACAGGCAAAAGGTATAGGGTGGGTACATGGGTAGGCCTTATGGCCTGTGTGTGGTAGTGGCTAAACCAGGACACTTTGTAGCCAGAGACACACAGGACGCTGGAGTGGAGCCCAGCCAGGTAGACAGGGTGTGGGTCAGACAATGGTGGGATTGTCACAACTGTAAGAGAGAGACATCACTGGGCCCCAAGTGGAGCATCGGCAGGCATCATGGGCTAAGCACTGTCAGTCCCGGTAGAAAAGGGTCATACTGTCCTTTATTGGTTTCACACAAGGGTGTGTTGGCCACACCGTGCCCCTGGTGTGACATGTTACCCCTATGGTGGGTAGCATCCGGCAGTGCCCACGAGGCACCAGAAAATGAGCAGAGCCCAGGCCAGCTGGAGCAGGCAAAGAACTCAGCCTTCTCCCAGGATCCTTCCTGTCCCACCCCCCGCCCCCTCTGTAACTCAGCTGGAAGAAGTCCACCTACACAAGAGGGTTAGAAGCTGGGTACGGAGGTGCTGGCCTGTAGTCCTAGCCTTTGGAAGGCTGAGGAAGGAGAATCAGGAGTTCAAAGGCAGCCTCAGCTATATAAATAATGAGTTCAGGGTCAGCCTGGGCTACATGAGACCTCGTCTGGGGATAGGAGACAGAGAGAGAGAGAGAGAGAGAGAGAGAGAGGAGGGGGGGGGGGGGGGACTGGGCAGGATGGTTCACTGGCACTGACACCAAGATGACAAGCTAAGTTTAATCCCTGGGATCCACACGGTAAAGGGGAAATCAACTCCTGTAAGCTGTCCTTCTGAGCACACACGTGTCCCCCACATATAAATAAACAAAACACAACTTTAAAGCCAGACAGTGATGACACACGCCTGTAGTCAGGCAGATCTCTGAATTTGAAGCCAGCCTGGTCTACAGAGTGGCCTACAGGACAGCCAGGGCTACACAGAGAAACCCTGCCTCGGAAACAAAACAACAACAACAACAAGAAAGACATTTTACAAGAACTGTAATTGATGGTTCTGTAAACCTGTAATAAATTCCCTCACCAAAGTAGAAAAAGACTTTCTTCAGAGAGAGTCTCACGGAACCTAAACTGAACTTCTGATACTCCTGCCTCCACCTCCTCTGTACTGAGACTATAGGCAGGCACCACTCTGCTCAGTCTCGTGTGCTTCAGGAAGTTTAAACTGAAGGCCTCGTGCGTGCTGGTAAACATGAACCAATGTTGAGAGGGGAGGCTGCTGGTCTCCTCCCAGCAGCCAGCTCCAGTATCCTGCCTTTCTTAGGAGGGGTCCTTTATTTGTTTGTTTGTTTGTTTGTTTAGCTTTATTTCATGTGTGTGTATGGGCACCATGTGTGTGCAGTGCCCAGGGAGGCCAGAAGAGGCCAGCAGATTCCCTGGAACTGGTTATGGTTAAGAATGGTTATGAGCCATCATTCAGGTCCTCCAAAAGAGCAGGAAGTGCCCATCCACTGAGCCATCTCTCCAGCCCTTGGGTAGAGTCTCAGTGGTCAGCCAGGCACTGACTGACAGATACATGCTCACAGTCAGAAGGAATGGAGGGGAGGCAGAAAGGCCAGGACTACAGGACAGGTGCGTCCTGTCATAGGCTGGGGCCTACATAGTGTGTGTCTGTCTTTCCTCAGTGTGAGCAATTTGTGGAACAGCATACATCCGAGCTGCTGGTCCTGGTGCCCAGGAGCCGGAATGCCCATGTCACCTGCCAGGTACGCCCAACCCTTCAGCTGGTCCCAGGACTCCCCTCTGCTCCCATAGCCCCTCCCTCCATGGTTCATGACCCTCAGGGACCCCATCTCTTGGATCCAGGCAGCCTCTTGTGCAGCAGTCCAGGACTAACTGTACCCACAGAACAGGTGTTGGTCTCAGAGCAGCAAAGAACACGCCCCAGTAAAATTGAAGGGATGCATGATGGGATAGACAGCCGAGGCCGTGGTGTGGTGCTCACTATGGGATATGGTTATGTTCAGTGACCAGTATGCATTCGGTGGTGGGGTTATAGCATAGGAAGCGGGTGTGTGTGTGTGTGAAGGGGGGGGTCCCACCTCCTCATCTTTAAGTTCCAAAGGCCATGGCTTGGGGAATAGCACAACGGGTCTTGAAGGTCGTATCAAGAGTACCCATCAGGCTGGGTGGTGGTGTGCACGCCTTTAATCCCAGCACTTGGGAGGCAGAGGCAGGTGGATCTCTGTGAGTTCGAGGCCAGCCTGGTCTACAAAGCGAGTTCCAGGAAAGGCGCAAAGCTACACAGAGAAACCCTGTCTCGAAAAACCAAAAAAAAAAAAAAAAAAAAAAAAAAGAGTACCCATCAGGCAGCAGGTCTGAAGTGAGAGTTGTCTCCATACCCTCTGAGAGTTAGAAATGGAAAACTGAGGCCCTGGTGCTGTCTCTGGCAGGCCCTGGGAGTGTGTGAGGCCCCGACCAGTCCTCTGCAATGCTTCCAAACCCCACACCTCTAAGAGCTTGGTCTCCAGGTGAGTCCCAGCCCACCGGGGGAGGATGGGTTTGGGAACAGAAGGTCCTCCCGCCCCTTCTGTGGACTGTCATCCTACCTCCCCCAGGCGCAGCTCCAGGCTGCCAAGGGTCTCCAGTGGTTCCATCGGGAGAAGTTTTGTTTGTTTGGTTGTTTGATTGGTTTTCTTTGGTTGGTTGGTTGGTTGGTGGGTTGGTTGGGTTCTTGTTTTGTTTGTTTTTTGACCCATTATCACTCCATGCCCTCTTAACCCATCTAGCCCTCCACAGTTTCTCACCAAGGCCTCCTCACATCTGGGCTGCCTGACCTTAAGGATCTCACATGTTCGGGCTAAACCCAAAATTTCTTAGACTTCAAGGGAAGTCACATTTCACAGTCTGTGCTCCCTCCCCCTCAGAAGCCAAGAGTCCCATGGTCACCTGACCCCATCCTCCCCAGGCCATAGATTTCCAGGTCACTGTTTTCTAAGCCAGGAGTAGCATTGTGACCTGGCCCCCCGTTTCCTGTCAAGGTCACTTGAAAGGACCACTGTTGCCCTTTGCCCCCTAGGTCATTTCCTGACTCTGGCGTTAGAGCAACTCCTCACAGCACCTCGCACCAGATGACCACAAACCTCAGTCTGAGCCCTCAGCCCTGTGTCAGGCCGTACGCCTCACTCTAATCACCGCCCAGCACCAGAGTGGTTTCTGCCTCCTTTGGGAAGGAGGTGCAGCAGGCCCATCTTCTGGAAGCCTTTAAAGGGGCTTCAGGTCTCCATACCCACCAGAGCCAAGCCCAGCTCCAACAGCTCCTACAGCCTCCAGGGACCAGCCTCCTACTGCCAGAGCTCCCAGAGGACAGCAAGGAGAAGCTGGGTCTGGCCACACCCACCCACCCCTTGCTAGCACATCTATGAAATGCAAACTTCAAAAGAATAAAAATGGGAACATGAAGTATCCTAGGGGCTGTGGTGAGGCTCGGCGGAGGCAGGGCACTTTCAGAGCACGCAGAAAACCTGGGGTGAATCCCCAGTTTAAAGGTGGTATGGTGGTGGCTCTCACCTACAATCTCAGCACTTGGGAGATACAGCGAGAGGACTGAGAGTTCGAGGCCAGCCTGGGATACAGATCTTTTTTTTTTTTTTTTTTTTTTTTTTTAAGTGAAACAAAGACACATACAACAACACAGTCCAAAAGATACAGATGGGCATATGAAATCCTCAGCTTGTGCTTTTTCAAAAAAGAGAAATAAAAAAAAAAAATCAGGATGGGCTGGTGAGATGCTCCGGTGAGTAAAAGTTGATTGCCCCCAGGCCAATGGCCTGAGTTTGAGCCCCTTGATCCTCATGGTAGGAGGAGAAAACCAACTTCTAGTGTCCTTGGCCTCCACACGTGCCCCGCACACTTAAAGACATACACACATGCATGCACATTTAATTCAAACATCAGGAAACTGTGCCAGTGACCTGGTTCAGCAGGTAAAGGTAACCGTTGAACAAGCCTGAGGGTCTGAATTTGATCCCTGGAACTCAAGATGGTGGGAGAGTTGACTTCCAAAAGTTTCCTCTGACTCCACACTTACGCCATGGTACACATGAGCCTTCCTGCTCCTTTATAAACATACACATAATGATGATAACTTTCTCCTAAGTCAGGAAATCCCTGACTGGGTGAGGGTGAGCACTGCATGCTCCGGGCATTATGGTTGCATATTTGAGGTGTTCTGCGCTGAGATAAAAAGGGAGCTGAGGGTAGAGCAGAGGGAAGAGCAGAGGGGAGGGCTGAGGGTAGGGCAGAGGGGAGGGCAGAGGGGAGAGCAGAGGGGAGAGCAGAGGGTAGAGCAGAGGGTAGGGCTGAGGGTAGGGCAGAGGGTAGGGCAGAGGGTAGAGCTGAGGGTAGGGCAGAGGGTAGGGCAGAGGGTAGAGCAGAGGGTAGGGCTGAGGGTAGGGCAGAGGGTAGGGCAGAGGGTAGAGCTGAGGGTAGGGCAGAGGGTATGGCAGAGGGTAGAGCAGAGGGTAGGGCTGAGGGTAGGGCTGAGGGTAGGGCAGAGGGTAGGGCAGAGGGGAGAGCAGAGGGTAGGGCTGAGGGTAGGGCAGAGGGGAGAGCAGAGGGTAGGACAGAGGGGAGAGCAGAGGGTAGGGCACTGGTTCATGCTCTAGACCCTGGTTTTATCACAGCACTGAAAACAAAAGGGCATGAGAAGAGGGACAGATCCTCCTGACTTCAAGTTTACAATCCTGACGGTGATTCTGCATCTGCATGATTATTTAAGGTCACTTAGGACCGTAATACCAAGGCCAGTTCCCATGCCAAGACAATGCCTGAGCCACAGCTAATAAAAGTTCCGTTCCCTTGTGTAAAATAAGAAAACAGTGTCTCTTAAGGGGTGTCAGGAGTCACAGCCTCAGCCTGATGTCAGCAGGGCCAGAGTCCACCTCTCTCTCTGCCTTACAGAAGTCCACATCTGCTCCCCCCAGTCCCTGCTTCCAGCCTGGCCTCCCTCCTGCTACCCTCTCCCTGAAAGCTTACTTCTTAAGGTGTTCTGAAGGTGCTAAACATCAAAATAAGCAAATAAGAGGCTGGAGAGATGGCTCAGCAGCTCAGAGAACTCTTCTCTTGCAGGGAACCTGGGCTAGATTCCCAGCAGCCACACGGTGGCTCACCACCATCAATGGCTCACCACCATGGCAACTCCAGTTTCAGAGGATTCGATGCCCTCTTCTGACCTCCATGGGCACCAGACAAGTGCCTGATGCACAAACACATGTGAAGGCAAAACATTCATACACATAAAATAAATAAATCTAAAAAAACCAAATAAACAAATCCATCTTTAGTATTAAAGATCTAAATGCCAGATGTGTCCCTTTTTTTTTTTTTTTTTTTTTTTTAGGTTTTTTGAGACAGGGTTTCTCTGTGTAGCTTTGCGCCTTTCCTGGATCTCGCTCTGTAGACCAGGCTGGCCTCGAACTTATAGAGATCCGCCTGCCTCTGCCTCCCGAGTGCTGGGATTAAAGGCGTGTGCCACCACCGCCCGGCGGATGTGTCCCTTTTTATATATATAAAAACTTTTGTCATGTTTCTAATTATAAAAAAACTACATCTGTTAAAGAAAACCTAGAAACTGCAAACAAAAAACAGACCCATTACACTCAATCTCATCAACCCCAAGAGGGCACTGTAACTACACATATATCCGGACGTACACTTCCTCCACTCTCATCTCCCAAGCACCAGAATAAACTTTCTGCTCACCCTGCTCTGACAGAGGATGAGATGCAAATCCTCAGCCTCTAAACTTAAACTTCACAATAGGTATTTCATAGGTGTGCATTAGATTATTGTCTTAAAAGTCACTGTTTTTGTTATTACACTCAGGTAGCGGATGGAAACAGGGATATTTTACATTTAAAAAGCAGCAAAGGTAGCTACCTAGGTCGGGGAAATGAGCCAAAGCATGAAGGCAGGGAGCGTGTGTCCCAGAACAAGCGCGCTATGAAGGTCTGAGGGGAACCTCGGCTATTTCTGCCTGACGGCTTCACTCCTGGCTGGTGAATGCATCAACTGTTTCTGCTGCGGTTGCCGCCGCTATCCTTCACTCACAGGAACTTTTTAGGCTTTCCAATGTGAACTTCAGACCAGCAGCTCTCCAGGAATCCTCCCGGCGTTCAAGGCCAGACTGGAACTACGGAAGCACCCAGCCTCAGGGACTGGGTGGCTACTGGGTGCTCAGCCTCTCCAGTCTGCAGTCATTGTTGGACTGCCTGGTCCATATTTATTGTGTAAGCCAATCTAATGAATCCATATGTGTTAGCTTGGGATAAACAAGGCCCTCTTGAAATTAGCATTTTTTAAATTAAATATTTTTATTTTATGCACAAGTATTCTGCCTGCATGTATGTTCACTGCACATATGTCTGTCTGGTGCCTTCAAAGGCCAAAGTGGGCACTGGATGCTCCGGAAAATGGAGTTATAGAAGGTTGTAAGCTGCCACCTAAGAGCTGGGAATGGAACCCTGGCTCACTGAAGAGCAGCAAATAATCTTAATGGACAAGCCAGCTCTCAGCTTTGATTACTGAATAAATCTATATGCTTACAGGTTGTTAATATTTTATCCTTTGTGAAATGTCTGTTTGGGCTTTTGGCCTGATTTTGTTATTCTTTTCCTTATTTTAAAAAGTTATTTATGGGCTGCAGAGCAGCTCTGAGGTTAAGAGCATGCACTGCTCTTCCAGAGTTCAATCCCAGCACCTACATCAGGTGGCTTACACCTTCTATTGCTTGTACTCCAGCTCCAGAGGTTCCTGACCCCTCTGGCCTGTGAGGCTACCTGTACTCACATGTACAAACCTACACACAGATACACACGAAAATAACAGTGGGACATCTGACATTATCCTCTGGCACACACATGCATACATGCAGGCAGGCAGGCACACACGCGCGCGCGCGCGCGCGCGCGCACACACACACACACACACACACGCCCCAAAAGAAAATGAAAGGATGACTCCTGAAAAAATCAGTTTTTGTTTGAGATAGGATCTCATGTAGCTAAGAATGACCTTGAACCTGTGGTTCTCCTCACTATATCTCCCACATACTAGGATTAGACACATGCCTTCATGCCTGGTTTATATGGTGGTAGAGATTAAACCCAGGGTTCCATGAATGCTAGCCAAGTATTCTACCAACTGAGCTACATTCCTAACTAAGTTCGAGTTGATTTTAAGACATCCAAAAACAAATCAAATAGGCATTTGGCTTTAAGATCAAGAATTGAAGCCGGGCGGTGGTGGCGCACGCCTTTGATCCCAGCACTCGGGAGGCAGAGCCAGGCGGATCTTTGTGAGTTCGAGGCCAGCCTGGTCTACAGAGCGAGATCCAGGAACGGCACAAAGCTACACAGAGAAACCCTGTCTCGAAAAACAAAACAAACAAACAAACAAAAAAAAAAAAAAAAAAAAAGAATTGAGGGATGTGTGGTATCGGGACTTGTTTATGGGG